TGCACTTGTCTGCTTCTGCGCATGCCCTTCGGGACTTGGGGGGGGGGGAGGGACAACCAACCCAGCCACAGGTCCGTGGTTGTGGCACGTTAGCGATGTGAATGAACAAACATGGGCCTGCTGCACTATAATGCTGGCTTAGGGGGTGCTGTGTGATCAACGCAAAGCGTCCCAAACTCAAGCGGCTTATTTAGAGCCGATATACTGCAGCATCAAACGGCTTGTGTGACAACACCCTCTGTCTAGGAATTTGTCTTACTGGCATATATAGTCAGTGCTAATTGAGATACATTATTGGGAATCCATCAATACTTGGAAGCCTTTAGTTTAATTTTTGTACTAAAGAAACCAGGGACACCATTAAATGTTTCTCACATTTACAGTCAGTGTTCTTATCAACACTTCTGTTTGAGGAAAGCTTTGGTTACGTGCATTGGTTAGCTTAAGTCTTGCTTCTCATTCTCTGTACTAAGATTAACTTTCATAATGACACTTCCATCAAAATGAACTTCAAGTTATCCAAATGTATAAAAAAGCCACAGAGGTTGCCCTGTTATATTATATTCAGGTGCAATGCAAGAAGTGAATCAACTATTGATGAAGATGGAAGAGGAGGAGGAGATTGGATTTATACCCCGCCCTTCACTACCCAAGGGAGTCTCAGAGCGGCTTACAAACTCCTTTCCCTTCCCCTCCCCACAACAGACACCCTATGAGGTAGGTGGGGCTGAGAGAGCTCTTTCCAGAACTGTCCTTGAGAGAACAGCTCTGACAGAACTATGGCTTGCCCAAGGCCATCCAGCCAGGTGCAAGTGGAGGAGGAGTGGGGAATCAAACCCGGTTCTCCCAGATTAGAGTCCGCACACTTAACCACTACACCAAACTGGCTCTCAAGGTGGACCACATAACCATTAATGATATCATCCTTAAAGGTTAAGGGATCATCTATTTATTCATTCCCTGGGTTCATGATGCTTTCTGGACATTATACCACCTACATGGACCTCAATGTCTTGGTTTTTCTTCTTTCTTTTTTTTAAACCCTGGGCGGGCTAGTGATTAGGATAGACCCAAGGGCATATACGTTTTAATTTCCAAAACCTGCCTGCTGTTTAATAATACATTTCCAGCTCAGCGTTGTAGCTTGCAGGCCCTGCAGAACTCAAGACTTCTTTTGTAGCGGAAGGTTGAAGAAAAAACAAACTTTAGTCACACCGGGAAAGCACAGAAAATAACTTTGAATATCCAGGCTCTTACCGTGATGTAGATCAATGGATACTATAAAGCAAAAGGAAAAAAGAAAAGAAATAAGATAACCATTAAAACTGGAAGAACCAACAACAACAGATTGTAAGTCAGTCAGTCCTGTGGGCAGGCCATTGCATGGCTGAACTGCCCTGAGCAGCTAGTTGCACCAAAGGCTTGCCTGCTCGCCTCTAGAAAGTAAGAATTGTCCCCAGGTGACCCGGTAGAGAAGCTGTTGACTAGCTGGTTCCTCCCTTCTCGTGGTACCTGAAGCACAGGTGCAGGGCAGGAGAATTCAACCACGGTGGTGGACTAGTAGCTGTCAAAGCAAATTGAGTATAATGAAAAAAGTAGATGTTCTAAGGGCCAGGATAAAAGTGATTGCTTCCAGACGAGCCCTTTTTGTTTGGAATCGTTGACATCCATTCGCTCCATTGCAGAGAATACAGAAGAGACGTCATGGTCAGTCCATTGCATTCGACTCTTGCCTCCCCCTTTCCAAGGAACTTGTTTGTGGTGATTTTTTTAACATCACTTTTAATGCAATTGCAGTAGCACCACAAAGTTGGGAAAAGGGTGAAAAGCTTAGTTTCTACAGTATATTGTGTTATCCTATGAATAATTTTTTGTATTGCTGCAACCTGCATTGTATATCTGGTCAGACAGATCAACAACTAAAATGGACTGGGTCAGTGAGGAAAGGAGGGGGGCACCAAGATTGGCCAGTGCTTAAGGCACCAGTGAGCCTTAATCTGCCCCTTCCTTGCCCCAGAGCCACAACACTGGTGAAACAGGAGGGGGATGCTGGCATGACTGCCCCCCCCCAGTTCTCCCTTGTCTAGCTACATTACAGCTTCAGCCGGACTGCTCAGCATATTAATAACAGAGTCCTGAATGTGACTGCCTCCCTTTCCAAAGTCATCTCAGGATAATGGGAAGGGAGAAAGCTTGAGGAGAGAGAAAGGCGTCCTTAAAGGTGAGCATACCCACTAAAGGCAGAAGATCTCTTACCCCCAGTGGGCCTTGCCCACCAGCACTACAGTGGCCAGCAAGAGGAATACTTTTTTTAAGACCACCATGGGCAGTAGTACGACATCACTTCCTGGGAAACCTGGAAGTGGTTTCACGCCTCCCTAGGGATTGCCAGAAACTCTATAGTAAGCTATATGGTAAAGGTAAAGGTTCCCTTGCTCGAAAGCCAGTTGAATCCGACTCTAGGGTTGCGGTGTTCAGATGAACGGAGATCCGTTTCAAAGCCGAAGAGCCAGCGCTGTCCGAAGACGTTTCCGTGCTCATGCGGCCGGCATGACTAAACGCCAAGGCGCACGGAACGCTGTTACCTTCCCACCGAAGTGGTACCTATTTATCTACTTGCAAGTTCTTGCTTTCGAACTGCTAGGTTGGCAGGAGCTGGAACTAGAGATGGGAGCTCACTCCGTCATGCGGCACACTCGGGTCTCGAACTCCTGAACTACCGACCTTCCACAGCCTGCAGTTCAGCGTCTTAACCACTTGAGCCATCGCAGCTCCCAAGATATATGGTAAACTATGATGGAAATGCCATGATGTCACTTTCTGGGAAACCTGGAGGTGGTTTCACCCCCCCCCCCCCCCCAGGGATCGCCAGAAACTCTAAAGTAAACTATATGGTAAATTCTATGATGTCACTTCCTGGAAAACCTAGAAGTTACATCATGCCATCACCAGTAGCTGCCCCCCTATATCCCCACCCAGCCTCCTGCTGTCCCAGGCCATTAAAGCCAAAGCTAGGAATCGAAACTTCTCCCGGGTAAATGATGGGAAGACACTACACAGGCAGCTTGCAAGGTCATAGATAAGCAAGAACGAAGGAATGCAGCAGCAGTTGGTACACAGGTCAAGCAGATGCACTCTTGCCCATAAACATCATGGCAGCATAGCTGACACTAGGCCCATCACAAATGATAGAGCAAAAAAAAAAAAGAGAGATAGGCAGAATTGACAGTGACTTTATTTCATTTTCACACAAATAAATTCTAATTAAAAAACTGAACCAAAAAAAATGGTCTTTGCTGATGGTTGGAATGAGCGCAGTTGCCAGGAGAAGCAGGAACCACTGTAGACACCACAAGTCCTGAAGGACACACTGTCCAGGGCATTAAGTCCTTTGAACACAGCAGACAGCTGAGGATCATGCAGGAGATGGACATTATAGAGTTTCTATGGAGCGATACTAAGTGCGACCAGGCCTGTAGCTATAGTGGGGCATTGCGGGGGGCCGCCCCCTAATCAAAAGCCCTGCCCCACAAACAGCCATGCCAGAAACCTTATTTTTGACCATGACCACGGTGGTACTGGGCTAGCAGAAAGGGGGGTTGTTGGAGACGTAATGAAGATGCCCTTCTAAGCTTTCTGGCGCCATGGAAGGGAACTCAAAAGGCATTTAGATGCCTTCTGCACTTAAATGCCCTCTGAGCCATTTTTTCCTTGGAACTGACACGCCCGCTGTCCTGCCCCTTGAAAGGAAGGGCTAGAGCCAGGCTCAGAGCCTCCCCCTTTAAAGACAGGCATTCAGGTTAATGTAATTAACTGTAATTTAACTGCCCCTTTAAAAATTTAAATGCCTCTCCCAACAACAACAAAAAAATCCTTGCCATGAGCTTGAGTGTGACAGTGATTTTTACCATGTTTTTCTCCTGTTGGTCTACAGAAGAAAAAGAAGAGGAAGAGATTGGATTTATACCCCGCCCTTCACTGCCCAAAGGTGTCTCAGAGCGGCTTACAATCTCCTTTCCCTTCCCCTCCCCACAACAGTCACCCTGTGAGGCAGGCGGAGCTGAGAGAGCTCTGACAGAAACTGCTGTCTTTCAAGGACAGCTCTGATAGAACTACGGCTTGCCCAAGGTCATCCAGCAGGTGCAAGTGGAGGAGCGGGGAATCAAACCGGTTCTCCCAGATTAGAGTCCACATACTCCACTACACCAAACTGGCTCTGTTGAAAATTGGGGGCTGCTGCCCAGAGGCCTCCTGCTATAGCAGGAAACCGGGGAACCCTGATTATGAAGTCAAAGATGTAATTCCAATTCCAGCTGACAGTAGAAGAGAAATCCTCAGCCGTGCCAAGGGGAATCAGGGTGGAAAGATTCCTTCCCTCTCCCTTCTCTGTAAACATGTACCACCTCTTTGTTTGTGTCTGGCATTTCTGCATTTGGTAGTGCACAAGGCCAGGACAGAGATGGCTTTGGATCACAGGAATACACCCGGCTCTATTCAATTCAAGTCTGCAGGCCTGTGCTCTGGAAAAACTGCAAAGCATTGTCCCCACAGATTTCAGTTTCTAAATATCTGGAGTATTCTTCAAAATCCATAGTTGCTTGAAAACCTACTGATTTTAAATTAAGCTCACCGTTTGGTTAACTGGTTTAAAATCTTCATCCAGAGTAATGACACGAAACATCACTAAAATGAAAGGGCAGAATGAATAAAACAATCAGTTTAATGTGGTGGTTTTAAAATGACATTTTACAAACTCTGTTGTGATACCCACAGATCCTTTAAAAGAAGAGAGAAGACATTGGATTTATACCCCACCCTTCACTACCTGAAGGAGCCTCAGAGCAGCTTACAAACTCTTTTCCCTTCCCCTCCCCACAACAGACACCCTGTGAGGTAGGTGGGGCTAAGAGAGCTCTCTCGAGAAATGTCCTTGAGAAAACAGCTCTGAAAGAACTTGTGACTGACCCAAGGTCACACCAGCAGCTGCATGTGGAGGAGTGGGGAATCAAACCCTGTTCTCCCAGATTAGAGTCTGCGCTCCTAACCACTACGCCAAACTGGCTCTCTAAGGAAAAATAAGGTAGTGCAAGAAATCAGACCTGCAAAAAATTTCCATTCAGGTATACTGATCTAACCCGCACAATTTTTCGTTACAAAAGATGGGTAAAATGTAATCATGCTTCATAGTTTTTTAACCAAATTATTTCTCTTTAAAACTTTTAACCCGCTTTTCTCCCCAAAGGGTCACTAAAAAAAAACACTGAGTCCTCTAACAGTCGGTTGATAGTCTCTTGTTCCACATTTATAAGGTTCACTGTCTTCCTTTGGCCTCCCCCCCCCCCCCCCCCCCCCCTCCCACACACAGTCTTAGGGCCAAACTGGATGTTTTGCTCATCATGTATTCTCCACAGGAACTGGCAGCCATCTACAAACCTCTGAAAACCATTGATGAGAGGCAAAATCAGATAAGGCCTTGGTTTCTATGCCAATGTGGTATAGTAGTTAAGTGCAACGGACTTTAATCTGGAGAACTGGGCTTGATTCCTCCACATGAAGCCTGCTGGGTGACCTTGGGCCAGTCACCGTTTTCTCAGAACTTTCTCAGCCCCACTTACCTCACAAGGTGACTGTTGTAGGGAGAGGAAGGGAAAGGCAATAATTGTAAGCTGCTTTGAGACCCCTTAGGATAGAGAAAAGCAAGGTATAAAAACTGACTCTTCTGTTTGCTTGGCCCTCAGAGGAACTGGTTGGCCGCTGTGTGAGTAAGACAGAGGAGAAAGAGACGGGGGGGGGGGGGGGGGGACAAACGTGACCCAAAAACTGGAATCAAGAACCACAAGGGTAAGAGAGAAGTCTGATAAAGGGCCAATATTAAAAAACGTAATGTAAACTTATAATATACAAAAATACATGCATTTATTAGAAAGTTTGTTTTTAACTGTCTTTCTAGGAGGAGGAGGAGGAGGAGGAGATTGGATTTATACCTCACCCTTCACTCAGAGCCTCAGAGCGACTTACAGACTCCTTTCCCTTCCCCCCTGCAGCAGCCACCCTGTAAGGCATGTGAGGCTGAGAGAGTTCTAACAGAAACTGCCCTTGAGAGAACAGCTCTTATCAGAACTACGGCTTGCTCAAGGTCATCCAGCAGATGCAAGTGGAAAAGTGCAGAATAAAACCCGGTTCTCTCAGATTAGAGTCAGCGCACTTAACCACTACACCAAACTGGTTCTCCTACACCAAACCGGCTCTCATAAATATTTTTTTTTGAGAGCCTGTTTGGTGTAGTGGTTAAGTGTGCAGACTCTAATGTTTCCTCAAGAGCACTGCGATCGGGGAGTCTCCATCTCCTGGTAGTTCCAGGCCCCCGAGAGATTAAGTTTGCTTCTATTAGGGCCAGGGCATTTTCGGTGGCGGCTCCTACCTGGTGGAATGAGCTCCCAGAGGAGATCCGGGCCCTGCAGGACCTTGTGCAGTTCCACAGGGCCTGTAAGACGGAGCTCTTCCACCAGGCTTTCGAGTAGGAGCCGCCGCCGCCACTATCCCACCATCGAGGTAGTGTGTCATCGGCTGCCCTACTAAAGGGGGGCAAGCATGGCCTGGCAGAAGTTATAGACAGCGTAGCAGGAGACCGCGCTATTGAGATACTTGGCCGCCAAATTTGGGTGGTTGTTCCCATCTTGGATGACTAATATAGGCACAGCACCATGTTATAGGATGGAGTATACTGTGGTTTTAAATGTTGTATTTTATTATATGTTTTATTGTATTTTATATCTCGGCATTGTCGCATGTGAGCCACCCTGAGCCTCTGGGAGGGCGGGATACAAATCAAATAAATAAATAAATAATCTGGGAGAACCGGGTTTGATTCTCCACTCCTCCACTTGCACCTGCTGATGTGACCTTGGGTCAGTCACAAGCTCTGGCACAGCTGTTCCTGAAAGAGCAGTTTGTGTCAGAGTTTCAGCCCCACCTACTTCCCAGGGTGTCTGTTGTGGGGAGGGGAAGGGAAAGGAGTTTGTAAGCCACTCTGAGAATCTAAGTGAAGGGCGGGGTATAAATCCAATCTCTTCTTCTTGTATATTATAAGTTTACACTAGGTTTTTAATATTGGCCTTTTATCAGACTTCTCTCTTATCCTTGTGGTTCTTGGTGGCCGCTGTGTGAAACAGGATGCTGGACAACTGGACCACTGGTCTGACCTAGCAGGCTCTCCTTATGCTCTACATCCCTCTAAGCAGGGGTCATTTCGTAGAAAAAGGTGCAGGAGCTCATTAGCATAACTTATTTGCATATGCCACGCCCCCTGACATCACCGGAAGTGTGTCAGAAGGCAACACCCACCGCTCAGGCTCCACTGGACTGTTTTGGATTGCTAGCTTTTGGGGGGGGGGGGAACATGCAGATCTGTCCTCACAGAGGAGGGAGAGCTTGTACCTGAATAAAACTTGGTCTTAAAGATGCCACTGGACTCTTTTGGACCGGGGGGGGGGGCAGGGGGCTCTGCAACTTACCTGGCTGCTTCTTGCTCTGCCTGAGGGCTGCTGGGAGCAGGGGGTGGGGCTTGTGGCATGTGCCCGCCCCCTGGGCTCTTTACTGCCAGAGCTCCGCGCCTGTGCACTCCTGCAGGAAATGACCCCTGCCTCTAAGAGTGCTGTGTGTGACCCTGATTTGGTTAGTTGTGTGGTGTAAGGGGGGGGAGGGACTCCCCCTCCCATCTGTGTTGTTGTTCCCAACCTGAACTGGCATGGGGAGGTGTTATTTGCCTCATCGGCTGGCTGCGCGTGTAGGTGTCAGTGCTCGTGCAGCCACCGGATGGGGCACCCAGCATTGTTTCAGGTTGGGAAATGGTGCAGAATGGGAGAGACCCTCCTCCCTCCACGTCGCAGAACCTGACCAGAATCAGAGCCACACAGCACTTTTAGAGGGAGTCCTCCACAAGGATGGACAGCTGACAGGTGGCTGCCAGTCCCTGGTAGGGTTGCCAGCCTCCTGGTGGTGGCTGGAGGTTACAACAGATCCCCAGCCGACAGAGGTCAGTTCACCTGGAGAAAATGGCCGGTTTGGAAGGTGGGCTGTATGGCATTATACCCCACTGTAGTCCTTCCCCTCCCCAAACCCTGCCCTCCTCAGGCTCCACCCCCAAAATCTCCAGGTATTTCCCAATCCGGACTTGGCAACCCTAGCCTCCGGCACATTCAGTTTGGCCCTTAAGTAAATACTTTGGATCCATGAGAACAGTCTAAACAACACAGTTAAAAATACAAGTCATCGATATAAAATTGCAACCCTGAATGAACGACTTGCCAGAAAAGGTTAATACCTCTAGGGATCCCAGCCCCCCTGGACGGGGAAGGGGATCCTCCAATTTGGAGCAGGCTTCCCTGCCGGCGGCCACCTTGCTGGCAGAGGCAAATTCTGCCCCCAAACAACTTTTTTGGGCTACTTCTGGTAAAAGTAGGACATGTGGGCCCCTAGGCCCTAACGGTAAAACCAGAAGTACCGTCCCCAACACTACAGCATCACCAGGAGTGTCATCGTTGCTCTGGAAATTTTGTGGGGGAGACACTCTGGTACTGGGGCAAACTCTATGGTTTTGAGGGCGAAAAACCATAGAGCTTCACACAAATACCAGAGCGTCCCTGCGTGACATTTCCGGCGCAATGATGTCACTTCCGGATGACGTCATCGCGTCAGGGACATCGCGTGATGTCTCCCCACCTCCCAGAACATCCCCCAAAGGCCCCCGCCGTCAGAGGAAAGGGACCTGGCAACCCTAAATCCCACTCCAGTTTAAAATTTGCCCTTCAAGAGGCCCTCTGGAAGAGAAGACTCAGAACAGCCATTTTTACATTATCTGACTTATGCATTGGTAAATTCAAGAGCTGTGGTTCCAGGAAAATTTATATGCCTGAGCTAGGCTCATGGGAAAATACCTCTACTAGGCTTGCTGGCTAAGCTGAATCATCACAGTGATTATCGTTATTTCATCACAGTGAGAAATACAAGCTGCCTGCTAGCTTTACCTGACGGATCATCACTTGGGAAATGTACAATAGATTACTGCATTCTTTGATACACATTACTGTACATTGGTATCTATCCTCCATCAGGAAGAAGACAGTTTATACTGGAGTGGGTTTCTTCGATTATGGACTCTTCGTGTTATGTAATTTAGTTTGAAAGAGATTGAAATGTTGATGTTGTTTGAAAGTGTTTACAATACACTAGAGTTGATGGTGTGTATATAAATCAAATATATTTAGCTATAAGTGCATGTGAATATTGTGTTTATTATTTCAACACGGTGTTTTTTGTGTTTACCTAACTTAGCCATGTTCCCTCTGTGCTTGTTGTTGGGCCTCCAGGTGGGGCCTGGAGATCTCCCGCTGTTACAACTGATCTCCAGCTGACAGAGATCAGCTCCCCTGGGGGAAATGGCTGCTTTGGAGGGTGGACTGTATAGAGGTTTACACCATGCTAAGATTTTTTCCCCTCCCCAAACCCTGCCCTCCTCAGGCTCCACCCCTAAATCTCCAGGAATTTCCCAACCCAGAGTTGCCAACCCTCGCAGAGCTGTATGTGTGGAGACGGTAAGGGTGGGGGCCTGGAGACCCCCTGGAATCGTAGCCGCTCTCCAAACTTACATAGATAAGTTCCCCCGGAGGAAATAGCAGCTTTGG